GCTTTGAGAATATCAGCAAAACTAGTAAATCTCTAGCCAGACAGAACAAGGGAAAAAAAGACAAAACTTAATCTCAGAGAAAGCTGTTCATCTTTGCTTTTAAAAAATGCATTATAGCCCGGCCGGTGTGGCTCAGTGGTTGAGCATCGACCCATGCACCAAGAGGTCACTGGCTAGATTCCTGGTCACGGCACATGCCCAGGTTGTGGGCCCAATCCCCAGCTGTTCTCTCTCATTGATATTCTCTCTCATCGATGTTTCTATCTCTAGCTCCCTCTCCCTCCCCCTCTCTCTCTAAAATCAATAAAGAAAAAATATTTTAAAAAATTTAAAAAATGCATTATAAATGTCAGTAAAAATTTTCAAAAAATATATAAAGTTCAACAGGCACTGTATAATCATTGTAATTTTTATTAGACATGACAACTACTTCCATTTAGTAAACTAAAACAGTTATCAGGAATAAAGAGAGGAGATATCACTGCTGATATCAATTAAAATGATAAGAGGGTAGTATAAACACCTTTATGCCAATAAATTTAAGAACTCAGATGAAATGGACAAAATCTTTGAGACAAAAACTCCACCAAAGCTCACTCAAGGAGAAATAGAAAACCTGAAGAGTTGTATGTACATATATAGAGAAGTTGTAGTTTAAAACCATCCACAAGAGAAACATGCAGACCCAGATGACCTCAATGGTGAATTCTACCACACATTTAAGGGGGGAAAAAATCAATACAAATTATACATAAACTCCTCCCCCCAAAAAAAACTGAAGAGGAGGAAACACATCCCAATTCATTCTATGAAGCCAGTATCACCTTGGTAACTAAACCAGGCCCCCCCACCAAATAACAAGAAAACCATAAAACAATATTCCTTATGAACATAGATATAAAAAATGTAACAAAATTTTAGCAAACAGAATCCAACAATATGTAAAAAATATAATACATGGCAACTAAAGTAAGGTTTATCCAAGGGATGGAAGGTTGGTCTAACATGCAAAAATTAACAATGTAATTCACCATACTAACAAAGTTAGAAAAACTATATGACTCTAAAAGATGCAGAAAATGCATCTGACAAAATCTAAAATCCACTCTCAAAAAGAAAAACTGCGAACTAGGAATAAAAGACAATTTCCCCAATTTGATGATCATTGAACAAATAATCTATAGCTAACATCATACTTAATGATTAATGCTTTCCCCCTAAGACTGAGAACTGGCTAGGATGTCTATTTGAACCATTTTTATTGAACACAGTACTAGAGATTCTAGCCAAGGTAATCAGACAAGAATAAGAAAAGGCACTGAGCCCTGGCCGGTTTGGCTCAGTAGTTAATGTGTTGGCCTATAGACCAGAGAGTCCTGGGTTCGGTTCCGCTAAGGGCATGTACCTCGGTTGCAGTTCGTCTCTGACCCCTGTTGGGGTCATGTGGGTGGCAACCACTCGATGTGTCTTTCTCACATCGATGTTTCTCTCTCTTCCCCTCTTCCTCTCTCTCTCTCCCACTCTATCTGAACAAAAATGGAAAAGTGTCCTCAGGTGAGGATAAAACAAAACAAAACAAAAAACAAAACTACAATGAGATACCACTACACACATCTATTAGAATTGTTAAAATTAAAAGACCAACCCAGCGAGTGTTGAAAAGGATGTGGAGGAACCAGAGGTATTATACACTTCTCTTGGGAATGAAAAATGTACAAAACAATTCTTTTAGGAAACAGTTTGGAAGTTTCTTAAATATTAGACATGTACTTTCCAAATTATCTAGCCATTCCATTCTTATTTACCCAAGATAAATGGAAACATATGACATACAAAGTCTTGTACACAGATGTTCATAGCAGCTTTATATGTAATGGCTGAAAAGTGGAAAGAATTCAAATGTCCATAAACAGATGAATGGATAAATTGTAGTTTATATATTCTCAGCAATAAAAAGGAAAGAATTATTGATACACAAAACAATATAAGTGAATCTCAAAACAATTATGTTGAGTGAAAAGTCAGGCAAAAAAGAATACATGCTGTATAATTACATATAAAATTTTAGAAAATGCAAACTAGCCTAACAGTGACAGAAAGGCAATGAATGGATGCCTCGAGATGGGGCAAAGACAGGGGTGGGAGGAAGGGAGAAGTTACAAAGGCATATGAGAAAGTTTTTGTAGGACTCATGTTCATTATCATTCCTGCAGGTTAGTTTCATGGGTGTATACATATATTGAAATTTATCAAATTGTGCACTTCAAATATGTAAAGTTTATTGTACCTCAATTATATCTCAATAAAACTATTAAAAATCCATAGGTCTTAATATACACTGATGGAGCAGGAATTACAGAGAATATATATGCAAGATCCATTACTACTGAGACTTCAATCTGTTTTGATCACTACAGTATCTCCTTTGCATATATCAGTGTCTGGTATAACAGGGGCTCAGTAAACACTTATAAATGAATAGCTCCCATCCCACCAAAACAATACGCACACAGGGCAGAGTAAAGGCCAAGGCTGATTCTAGGTGATTATAATAAAAAACTGGAGACATAACAAAATTCTTTCTGAATTATAATTCTGTGATTATGCTTATTATTTCTCACAGTAACCTGGTCTCACATATAAAAACTGTATACAGAGCCCTGGCCAGTTTGGCTCAGCAGTTAGAGCACTGGCCTGTGGTCCAGAGACCTGGGTTCCATTCCTGCTAAGGGCATGTACCTCGGTTGCAGTTTGTCCCCGGCCCTGTTTGGTCATGCGGATGGCAGCCATTCGATGTGTCCCTTTCACGTTGATCTCTCGATCTCTCCCCCCCCCCCCCCACTCTATCTGAACAAAAAAAAAAGGAAAAATGTCCTTAGGCAAGGATAAAAAATATATATATATAGATAGATATTAATATAGATTTATGATCTAAAACTTATAGTAAACCAATGAACATTGTCAGCCTTATAGGATAATTTTGCTAGTAAATACAGCTTTATTCCAATTGCCAATATAAGAATATATTACTTTTATATTCCTCATTAATACAAATCACATTTATGTTAGTTTCCACAACATTCTTTTAGTTTTCAATAAAATAAATTGAACCACTGTTAGACTTAAGTTCTTTATTATAAAATATCTTAGGACCTATTTGGTACATTTAAGCTTTCTGTTAAAATAGATTCAACTTAAAAACAAATATGTAGCCCTGGCCGGTTTGGCTCAGCGATTGGAGCGTCGGCCTGCGGTCCGGAGAGACCCGGGTTCGGTTCCCGCTAAGGGCACGTACTTCGGTTGCAGTTTGTCCCCGGCCCTGGTTGGTCGTGCGGGTGGCAGCCACTCGATGTGTTCCTTTCACATCGATGTTTCTCTCTCTCTCTCTCTCTCTCTCTCTTCCTCTCTCTCCCTCCCACTCTATCTGTACAAAAAATGGAAAAATATCCTCAGGTGAGGATAAAAAAACAAACAAATATGTAAAATAGACTCAACCTATTTTACTGGTTTACAAAGCTTTTGAAGTAGCAGAAAATTTGGTTTTATGACCTGAATTTCTTTTTTTTTTTATCCTCACCCGAGGACATTTTTCCATTTTTTGCACAGATAGAGTGGGAGGGAGAGAGAGGAAGAGAGAGGGAGAGAGAGAGAAACATCGATGTGAAAGGGACACATCGAGTGGCTGCCACCCGCACGACCAACCAGGGCCGGGGACAAACTGCAACCGAGGTACATGCCCTTAGCGGGAACCGAATCCCGGGTCTCTCCAGACTGCAGGTGGATGTTCTAACCACTGAGCAAAACCGGCCAGGGCCTGAATTTCTTGATTTAAAAAAAAATCACTTGTTCCCTAACATTTATTTATTTATTTATTTATTTTTAACGTTTTATTCTTTATTGACTTTTAGAGAGAGAGGAAAGGAGAAGGAGGAAGAGTTAGAAACATGGATGAGAGAGAATATCGATTGGCCACCTCCTGCGTGCCCCCACTGGGGATCAGGCCCACAACCTGGGCATGTGCCCTGACTGGGAATCGAACCAGCGACCTCTTGGCACATGGGTCGATGCTCAACCAGTGAGCCACACCAGCTGGGCTTGTTCCCTAACATTTAAAGGGACTGTTTTGATCCTTAAAAGATACTATGAATCAATTTTCTTAGCAATGGTGTAGCAGATGTTTTCATTACAAATTCTACTGTCTGCAATCATTACAAACTGCACATTCTTACTGACAATCTGCAGTTGATGTACACTGTAGTGATGCCTAGTCTGCAAGAGACAGTCTGTTCCAAGTTCTAGGGGGTAGTGTGTGTCCTAATTAGCCAACCTCACACTATACTAGAGGCCACGAGGATAAGGACATAAACGTTTTAATTATGTCTTACCTCCAGAAAAGCTCAAAGCACATTAACATTGGGTTGATATTTCCAATAAATAATGGCTATCCAGTAAGAGGTGGGCATGCATATTGCCAACTATACTAAAATGAATGTGATAATCACATCCCATTATGGGTAAACAAAATTCCAGATTATGCTAAGGAAGTTTTTGAAAGACTTATTTTGTTCATTAGTATAGTGTACACAGAAAGACAGCCACTACTATGAGAAGGAAACTAGGACGATGGGAGCGTGAAGAAGGGAACAGAAGAAAGGTGGACTGATACTGTAATATCATTATGTGCCAGGCACTCATACATGCTACTTCATGTGATACTCTCGACATTCCCATGCAGGTGCCATAACTGCCTTCACTTTGCAGAAGACAGGCTGACACTCAGCGAGGTGAAATCATTTGTCCCAAGGTCACATCCCTAACAGCAATGGGGCTCGGTTTCTAATCCAGGCCTGCTGACTCCAAAGTCATGGTTCTCATTACTCTACGCAAACTACCATAGAAAGAACTTAACAGAAGAAAAGCACAAACATGCTTGGTCTATTTTTGCTGATGGAAATGTCAGTTACAGCCTGCTGTGACAGTGCGTCACTGACTCGACTTACTTCAAGGAGGAGTCCCCAACACCAATGCAGCCTCGCAAGCTGAGCTTCCGCAGGAACCCACCGCACCGCTTCGAGATATTTTCCACCACTCGACCCTTGAATCAAGAAAGTGGGAAAGACATTTTGTTTTTCACGCTGCTTATCTAACAGGATGATAACCTGAATGAAATTCAGGAAGTGAATATATTTTTCCAGGTGTAATAGAAGGTATTTTGGAAAATCCCTCCAATACCCCACTTCTGTCCCTGATGCATGAAGGGGCTGCATGCACTGAAAAATGTTTTCAGCCAAAGCATTAAGTATTTTTTTAAATGTGCACTACTTTTTGAAAGCCTTAACCCTGAAATCAGGCCTCCCCTACCCAGGTTCATAGCTATCCCACCAATTACAAGGCTTTTGGAGGTCAGGTCTGGGCAGAGATATAAGACAATGCTGCTTAAAAAATAAATTCTATTTTAGCTAAACATTGTGACTCTAAAAAGTTTGAAAATGTATCATAAAAGCTTCCCTTTATTCTCCTTAGCAATCACCTACTTAAATACATTTATTCTGAAGGAGAACATGTGGCTCAGTAGTGGCAAATAGTGGCAAATGAACACTGGTTAAGCACTTTCACTTTTTCAGAAATGATATTAATATTTTAATATTTTCTTGTACCTATTATGGCTCATTTAACACCCACAACAACCTCCCGGACTACGACTCTCCACCGGAGGAAAGGAAGAGCCTGTCTGGACACAGCAGATCCTGCAGACGTCCCTAGCATTGGCCCGCCCTGTGATTAGTCAGCGGAAAACTGCAAGCAGCCAATCCAGGCAGGACTGCTAGGGTCCAGACTCTCAGGAATGAGGGTTTGGGTCCCTCCACCAGGTGGAGGACCAGGAGCAGCTGAGGAGCTTGCTGAAGACGAAGGGAATACAGAATGGGTAGAAGAAGGCAGTCATCAATTCCAGCTATGACCACATGACCAGTCACCGAGCTGAGGACTCTGTCACGGGCATTTCCTCCCTGTTTTCTTATACAGATGCATGTCTGTGTGTATATAAAGCAAATATATTTTTTTCTTCTCTGGGTCCCTTATCATGCAATATATGATGTACTGACTTTATATTGTAGTATTTAAGTATTGTTAATTCTACATCATAGTGTCTAAGGTACAAGGAGGAAACATCGAAAAGCGCCCTTTTCGTTTTTATCTTTTTCAATTTTTATTAATTTATTTTGTTACAGATGTCTCTCCTTTTTGCCCTTTTTGTTTTTCATACCGTGATCCTTATTGTATAAGCAGCAATCTTGGCACTGAACTGTGAGCACTAAGGGTTCACCAGGGCGCATCAAACCACAGGGTCGCAGGTCAGGGCTCCCATGTACTGTTACCTGGCTAACATGTTAGTTAAGTTGGATCCCAAATCTGATATTGCTAGTAGCTTTATTTATGCTTTCTTGAGTATTGCCTAAGTTAATAATTAGTTTATGGAACAAAATTCCAGACAACTGTTAAGTAAATTGCTGTCATCAGGGAAAAAAATGATTATGATTTGGAAATCCAAGATAGTGAAAAAACATCAAAAACAAAACAAAACTCCACACTACCATCTACAAATGGAGCACACAATATATTTTTCTCCATTTCAAGTCAGTCAGATTTATATAAGCTTTCTATTCTTCCTCTCTTTGGAGTAAAGGTTTTTATAATTTTTTTTTCTTTATTGATTTGAGAGAGAGAGGAAGAGAGAGGGAGATAGAGATAGAGACATCGATGAGAGAGAACATCGATTGGCCGCCTTCTGCATGCCCCCCACTGGGGATTTGGCCCACAACCTGGGCATGTGCCCTGACTGGGAATCGAACCGGCCACCTATTGGTGCATAGGTCGACACTCAACCACCGAGCCACACCAGCCAGGCTGGAGTAAAAGTTTTTGTACTGGAATAAAAGTTACATTCAGAATTTTCTGCTCTATTGTTTCCAATTAAGAAAGAAAGAAAAAAAAAAAGAACAAATCCTTTCCAAATGCAAAATTCAAGTCAATGGCTGTGTGCCACCGATCAGATAGTGCACTGCGGGTGTGCACTTAGAACGAAGGGTTTTGGAGAAAAGTGAGGCCTCAGCGGAGGGCTCCTTGGAGTTATGACTCGGGACTGACATACTACTAGGTTGTTGCTCATTTTTGGCCTGGCAGAATCTTTAATAACCACGAAGACAGTGACAACAAGATGTCCAACTTTTAAAGGCATGGAAAATGCTTAAATGTCAGGGAAACAATTTAGCCAAGAAAGAGTAAAGCTAAAGGAAAGGCATGATGTACACTTGTCCTCCGGATGCCTTATTCTGCCTTTTCTGGAAATGCTAGTCATGCAACCCACTGTTTTCTAAAACAATGTCTTGCCAGTAAAAATAACTACAACTTTGGGAATTTCATGTTCTCCTCAACGTCACTAAGTAAACACAATAAATAAAGATCTGGAGATGATCAGTTTGAAGGGGAATTTATATGTCAGCATGTCTGGGTGGGACACTGTTACAATCATTGCATTAAGTCGGGAAGCAGTACTGCAGAACTAATTCTGGGACCTCAGTCCAAGCCAGGAACTAGGACGTATCTTTCCTGGACAGGTGTGAATCCCTGAAGTACCCCCTCTTGTGAACCCGGAGCACCTGAGAGGAAACCAACTGTGGGGCACCCTATACTCGGCCCCACCTGCTGTAGGTGCTCTGCCCACTGGTCTGAGCTGGGACCAGAGACTCTGAGGCAGCAGGTGACTGAGAGAAAGTGAAGGGCCTTCACGAGTGGCCCTTAGTTCTTCTAGGTAACACCAGGTTAAGTAACTCACAGGAAACTGTTTGGGTCATCTCAGTTTTAAACACATTCATTTCCTTATCCATTAAAAAAGACACAAGACACACATTTTGATAAAAACACTGGATGAACATGCTATATAGGTAACAGAATTGAAATGCCATTCCACTACTGTAACTGAGTTGTCTACACTAGAAATGAATGAGATTTTACTAACACTAGGTAGATAGTAAACTTCGGAATCTCCAGATCCTTAGAACAGCAGTCTAGATAATTACTATGGGCAATGCTCTTTATTAATTGCCCTCCTTTTTTTCTGGTTAGAAATTGGACTTTAATATTAAAGTTGCTTTTTCTCATTTGGTCAGGTTTACCGCTCTTAAATGGAGATACACATATCTCCAGATGAATATACCAGAATCCTGGAATTATAAAAGGCTTAAAAGATTATTTTATAGATACTAAAACTGAGGCCCTGAGAAATTACATGGCTCCAGCGGCCAAGCGGGAGCGACGCCTCCAGCCTCACTCCTGGCCCGTGCTTCTGCCTTTCTTCTTTCTTGATGGCGAATTCGAGTCCTCAGTGGGTCTTTCAGATCAACCAACATTTGTCAATAGTCTCCTAATGTTAAAGCACCGAAGGTGTTAATGAGGCAGGTGTGAGGCTTCAAAAAGCTGAGAGGTACAACTCAGATTACAGATATGAGCAAGGGGAAAAGTCACCTGTTACTGATAAAGAACAAAGTGATCTCCAAACCGAAATTTTGGTTTTGGTGTATAGAAATACCTTCCAGGTTCTCCCCCTCTCTTTTCTACCTTTTACCACCTTAATATTAAATCTAAATGCAACACAATAAAAAGGCAGGAAAGAGGAAACAGTTCAGTTATCTTTTTAAAAAAGTCTTTTATCTAAAACAAGGTTAACTTACCTCTACATCTGTTTGAAAGTTAAAAAGGTCTATTCTTTGCCAGTTGCTTCCATCTAGGGCTAAGATGTTCCAAGCCTGGGAGGTGGGAGAAAAGGGGGAGGGATTGGGGTGAAAAAGACACATTTACTGAGACGATTAAAGAAAGTCTTGAATCAACCTTTGTATTTTCAAGTTTGTATTCTTGATATACATTAAGCTGATCATCAAATATAAAATTATGACAACACTGTGGTATGTTAAATATAAAAGATGACATTTTAATTTTTAACTGTTTACTTGAACTAAAACTCATCCTCATTCTAATAAAGCTTGATAGTTACTGATTAAAAATCTGGTTAATACCCTACCTTGGAAATCTGTGCACATCGGCACAAAGTTACTATATCCAAGAAGGAAAATATTCTAGGAAGAAAGGGAAAAAACACAATAAATGAGATGGTGTTAACATTTCAGGACATCTGTAACTTGAAAGATATAACCTAATACACCAACTGGATAGATCATAAGTATTTTTTTAAGATTCTTCAATCTGTAATACACAAATGGGCTATAATTTCACATACTACAGTGAAATATTAAATGTTTGCATGTTCCCAACCTGTTTCAGACACACTACACAAATTTCCTTAAAAGAGAACTCATTACACTTCTACTTCCCTCGTTCTAGGCCTGGACACAGGACAGATCACAACTTATTCTATTCAAAGACCAACTCTCTAATCTCCCAGAAACTGAGCCTGGTGAGAGCTAAATCCTTCTGATTCTGGTGCCCCTAACACACAGCGCGAACCCCTCTTTTGGTGGCAGATACACTAAAGAAGCTCAGATGCCTGAGCCTCAAACAGCATGGCCAAGAAAAACTTGATGATAAAACCTATTTGGGCAGAAAGATGGAGCTCAAGGTCTGTAAGTGGCCATTTTTTTGTGAGCAACCGCCAAGAAGCTACAGAAGATGGGAAAGATGGGCAGAGAAAGGAGAGAGAAGCAGACAGAAGCAATGCCCCTAGAGGAAGCAGGAGCTGTCAGGGCAGGGGTCTGAGTCAGGTCCTGACACCCTGGCAGTGGAGGGACAGGAGATGCTGAGGACAGCATAGTGGCAGACGCTGTGTGTGCCTCAGTCCTGAGCAGTGAAAACAAACGGCTTTCCTAGGAGAAGACGGGTGGGTGGGATGAGGTCAGGGACAACAATAGGATCTCGATTCTTCCAGTCCTGGAAGGTAAACATGAGAGTCTGTGCCTGTGTGTGTGGAAGGGGAGAAGGGGGAGATGGCAAACGGCCACTTAAAAGTTCTTCAAAATTCTTCAAAGATAACAATCAGTGGTGAGTTGAAAATCCACAGGCTGGGGGAAGAATAGTAATAAAGCACCAGACTGTTAGTTGTACCCTATGATAATGCACCAGGAGCAGCAGCACAAGGCTGGTGTTAGCATAAATGCTAGTGGCTGAAAATGTGTACACAAATATATACATAAACATATTCCGGGGTGTCGGCACACCTACACGGCCTCTGTGGGAAAACATCTTGCCCCACAAGCCCTCCTGCCTCAAACGTCTGTGTTCTGTGAGCATTCCACGAGCTCCCTGAAAGACCAGGACCAGAAGAACAAGTATGGTACAGTACAATCACAGTTCGTACTGGGGTTGGGTTCCAAAGTACCCACTGAAGGTGGAAAATCCCTTATGAATGTATCACCTTGGAGACCACACACTCTGCCATCTCTTGGTTGTATAACAATAGTTAACATTGATTACATACTTACCAGGTATGAGCCACAGCTGATGTTAGGTAATTGTTACAACAATGCTATGAGGTGCTACTACTATCTCTGTTTTACAGATAAGGACATTGAGCACAGAGAGGTTAAGTAACCTGCCCAGGCCACACAGGTAGTAAGAGTGGAGCTGCTATTTGAACCCCGGTGGTCTGGCTTGAGAGCCTGCGCCCACGACCACTCTGCAAGCTGCCTTAAAGTCTGATGCAGCTGCTTTCCCTCAGGATTGGACTGGATGCTGTCTTCGACTGAACCGCAGATGACGGAGTCTGTGTTTAGTGAGCGCACTGTATGGAAAACACGCATCTAAACGCTAGTATCAGTGACTGAAGCAAGCTGCTCACACATTCGGACACGTGAGAACCAACAGCTGGAACAAAAATTCACATTTCTTTTCTTTTTTTTTAATTCTACTGCACGTTTTTTATTTTATTTTAAATCTTTTTTTTTTTTTTATCCTCACCTGAGGACATTTTTCCATTTTTTGTACAGATAGAGTGGGAGGGAGAGAGAGGAAGAGAGAGAGAGAGAAACATCGACGTGAAAGGGACACATCGAGTGGCCGCCACCCGCACAACCAACCAGGGCCAGGGACAAACTGCAACCGAAGTACGCGCCCTTAGCGGGAACCGAACCCGGGTCTCTCTGTACCGCAGGCCGACGCTCTAACCGCTGAGCCAAACCGGCCAGGGCTTATTTTAAATCTTTATTGTTGAATGTAGAATGTATTACAGATGTTCCTCATTTTTCTCCCATTGACCGCCTCCTCCCCACTCCCGCCCCCCTCCCGCCTTTTCCCACACTATTGTCTGTGTCTATTGGTTATGCATATAAATTCTTTGGTTTATTTCTTCCCACCCCCCAACCCCTTTCCCTTTGAGGTTTGTCAGTCTAGCAATGAATTTGTACTTCTTAATCCCTTCACCTTTTTCACCCATTCCCCCAAACCCCCTCCCATCTGGCAACCAACAAAATGTTCTCTGTATCTATGAGAATGTTTCTGTTCTACCTGTTCATTTTGTTTGTAGATTCCATTGTTGATAGATATGTATTCATTGCCATTTTGTTTGTTCATATATTTTATCTTTTTCTTCAAAAAGACCCTTCATCATTTCATATAATAACGGTTTGGTGGTGATGAACTCCTTTAGCTTTTTCTTGTCTGGGAAAGTCTTTATATGGCCATCGATTCTAAATGACAGCTTTGCAGGATAGAGTAATCTTGGTTGTAGGTTCTTGCTTTTCATCACTCTGAATATTTCTTGCCACTCCCTTCTTGCCTGCAAAGTTTCTTTTGAGAAATCAGCTGACAACCTTATGGGAACTCCCTTGTAGGTAACTAGCAGCCTTTCTCTTGCTGCTTTTAAGATTCTCTCTTTGTCTTGAACCTTTTGCATTTTGATGATGATGTGTCTTGGTGTGGGCCTCTTGGGGTTCATCTTGTTTGGGACTCTCTGTGCTTCCTGGACTTGTATGTCTGTTTCCTTCACCAAGTTAGGGAAGTTTTCTGCCATTATTGTTTCAAACAGGTTTTCGATTTCTCGTTCTCTCCCTTCTCCTTCTGGCACCCCCAAGATGCGAATGTTGGCACGCTTGAAGTTGTCCCAGAGGCTCCTTACACTATCCTCATTTTTTTGGATTCTTTTTTCTTTCTGCTGTTCTGATTGGGCGTTTTTTGCTTCCTTATATTCCAAATCGATGGTTTGCTTCTGGGATTTACGTACTCTACTATTGAAGCAGTGTAAATTATTCTTTATTTCAGTTAATGCCTCCTTGATTTCTGACTGTGCATCCATCATTTCTGCTGGTTCTTTATTATGCTCTTGAGGCCCTCACTAAGTTCACTGAGGTTCTCACTAAGTTGACTGAGCATCCTTATAAGCAGTATTTTGAATTCAGCATCCGTTAGGTTGCTTATCTCCATTTCGCTTAGTTCTTTTCTTGGGGTTTTGCTCTGTTCTTTCACTTGGGACCTGTTTGTCTCCTCATTTTGGCTGCCTCCCTGTGTTTGTTTCAGTGTATTACTGAACGAGAGGTATGGGGCTCGCTGAGACCAGATGCTGCTCGTTTGAAAGAATTTAGGAAAAACCTGAAGCAGGATCCAAGACAGGCCAATCCTGTGGTTAAGCAAGTGGCAACAGCTTGGGTGGGTTTGAAAGTTGGGTGGGGTGGGGCGGGGCCTCAGGGAGTCAGCAGGGCGGGGCTACCAGTGTGAGCCAGGTTGCTGGAGTCCCAGGTATGGCGACTGTCTGCTGCCCCCGGGAAGGGCTCACCAAAGGAACAAAGGCCTCTGACAGCACGTTTGTCTCGTAGAAAGCCCCCTCTCCAGCCCTCGCTCCAGTGCCAAACAGCTCAGTTCTTCCCTGTGTGTCTCTGGCACCCCTCGAGCTGCCTCCTTTCCGAGCTTAGAGGGAGGGAGTCCGGTAAGTCTGTGCGCGGGCCCTTTAAGGAGCTGCCTGGGGCTCCAGCCGCGTCAGCCTCCCTGAGCCTCAGTTCCCGCTGGTTTTTCCAGCCAGAAGTTATGGGGATTCTCTTCCTGGCACTGGAACCCTGAGCGGGGCACCTGGTGTGGGACGGGGACCCCTCAGTCCTCAGGAAGGACCTTCCCAGCTGAGGTGTCCTGATTTTTTCCGCCACACGTGGGTGTGGGCCCAGCCCGTCCCCTCCGCCCTCCTACCAGTCTGGATGTGGCTGCTGATTTAATTTCCTAGTTGTAGGACTGCCATTCGGCTTGATTTCAGGCGGTTTTGAATGATGGTTGTTCTGTAGTTTAGTTGTAACTTTGATGTGGTTGTGGGAGGACGTGATACCGTGTTTACCTACCCGCCATCTTTCCAAATTCACATTTCTCATCTCATGCTTACTGCCCAGTTATGGTTACTGAATGAAAAAGTAGACTGGCTTCAGTATTTCCATTCTTTTCCTTCTCCCCAGTGCCCCCCATGACTCTATGTGGTTGAATGTGCATAAGTTCATAGGCATGACAGAACTCCCAACTGCCAAAATGCAGCCTAAGCTGAACTCCTGAATCATGTTTCAATGAATAGAATAAATGCCCTGAATGGCAGAGCCTGGGACACTGGAACAGACACTGACAGAGGGAGGAGTCAGAGCAGTGAGATACTGAGGTCTGGCCCTTCCAAACATTTTTTTTTTTCTGGAAATTACTTCCAACCTCAAATGTGATCATTTCACCCTTAATTAGAAAAGCATTGCAGGCCCTGGCTGGGTAGCTCACTTGGTTAGAGCATCATCCCAATATGCCAAGGTTGTGGGTTCGATCTCCAGTCAGGCTATATACAAGAAACCACCAATGAATACATAAATAAGTGGAACAACAAATCTGTTTCTCTCTCTCTGCACCCCACATTCCCCCTTTCTCTCTCTCTAAAATCAATAAATTTAAAAAAAATTTTTTTAAGCACTGCAATGGCAACTTGCTTATCCATACATACATACAGGGGTACAAGAGCAGATGTAGTTCTGGACTTTGCATTTTGTTCCATTGGTCTGTTTGTCTACCTCAGTCTCAATAAGACCATTACAATTATGAAGCTTTCTAATAAGTCAGTGTCTAGTAAAGTTAAGTCCTTCCACTTAGTTCTTATTCATCACAATTACCTTTGTTA